ACCATCTGGCCCATCACAATTACTAAAACAGACGTACATTATAGAGATGTATAAGGAAGCACACTCCTAGCATTATATTCTTGCACACATTATATTTTATATTTATTTGATAATATTTTTTGTTTTAATATCAAATATAATGTATTCTATTTTTATAATATTTGTTTTATTATTGTTTTGTATTCTTATATTTTATATTTATTTAATAATATATTGTTTTAATATAAAATATAATTTCGCAAAAATGGCGGAAAACTCGGGGGAGAAGAATTGTTGAATAAAGTCGTCATTTTTGTTTTCTTTGCGCTCAAAAAGTATTCTCGTAGCTTCGCAAAACTGAAATTGAGCCATTGATGTCACATGGACTGTTTGACCGATGTCCTTGCTATGTTTCTGGACCTGGGAACGTTATAGTTGCGTTGCTGTCTATGCAGGGTCTGAGAGCTCTCACATTTCATCGAAAATATCTTAATTTGTGTTCTGAAGATGAACGAAGGTCTTACGGGTTTTGGACGACATGAGGGCGAGTAATTAATGACAGAATTTTCATTTTGGGGTGAACTAACACTTTAATGTGAATCCAGACTTTAAAAGTACATTAAAATGGAAACAATACAAAGTCCTTCAACATGAAAAGCGATAGATAATTTCCCCAGATAATCGTTTCATATCGGGCTCTGCGCTTTGACAGGGCTGTGGGACACGAGCAGGACAGAGCCCATCGCTCTTCTTCAAAGCAAATGACACATTTGTAAATGGTCAGAAAAGCTAATTTAATAAATAGATAAAATTCATTCCTACAACTTGTTAATTTGTTCCTGCTTGTGGCCAAGGTCCATGTTTCATTCATTTGTTCCCTAGATAACCCATGATTTAACTACAACGAGGGAACAAATTAATAAGTCGTAGGAACAAATCCTTCATTCGTGGCCATGAAATCTTTCATTCCCCCCCACATGTCATGTCGGTCTCCATAAAAATAAACTTGACGTGCCTCGTCTAACAAGCACAAACTGTTGAAGTTGAATATGATGAGAGATAAAGAATGAAACCCATGCGATTTCTATAAAATAATTAGGTTAGTTTTGGCAAGTAAAAAGGATATGGTCTAATTTCTTTTTTTTTTTTTTTACTAGAGTAAGAGATGCGAAAACGGATTAAAAGTAAATGATAAGAACATAAACCTGCGCAATTAGAGGGTGAGACAGTAAGGATTTGGGAAAAATCCTCAAATGATTATAATCACATCTATTCATTTTACAATCCTACTACCAGCCTTTTATTTAGACTAAAAAGCCCTTTCATTGGGGTGTAATTTTTTTTTTTTTTTTTTTACTAGAGTAAGAGATGCGAAAACGGATTAAAAGTAAATGATAAGAACATAAACCTGCGCAATTAGAGGGTGAGACAGTAAGGATTTGGGAAAAATCCTCAAATGATTATAATCACATTATATATAATATTTTCTCTGAGATCATTGTAATGCATTATGGGATTGCCTTCTTGATTGGATGTGGCCAGCAGAAGGTATCTTAGAAAGCAGTGTCATTATCACTGTGATCAGTGATTTGTTGTTTTTTCCTCTCTCTCTCTCGTTCTTCCTCTCATTTATATTCTTTGGCTCTTTATTTGCATGCATCTCAGATGTGCTGTTGGACCTCAGTCTGAGTTAATACCTGTTTGTGCTCTCCACCAGAGAGATGAGACTCAGTGAGACAGTGAGGATTTGGGAAAAATCCTCAAATGATTATAATCACATCTATTCATTTTACAATCCTACTACCAGCCTTTTATTTAGACTAAAAAGCCCTTTCATTGGGGTGAGGAAGCTGTGTTTTGAGTAGCTTTTGCCCATCCTGTCATGCTGGTGACTGTATACCACTGCAATAGATGCATTTTACAGTATTAAGGTTAATGATTAACCAATTAATTGATCGTTAATTTAAATGACGTTCGGTCATGGGAATGATATATA